CAAGATAAAAGAAATAGTCGTTGAAGTTACAACAAAGGTTTTTTTCATTTACCATGTAATAAACGTCAACCAACTTCTTCCATTAGAATTTTTTTTTTTTTTTTTTGAAGTCGTTTTACTTTTTCATTTTCCTTATTTTTAAAAAAAACCTTTGTTGTAACTTCAACGACTATTTCTTTTATCTTGACACATCCATTAAAACAAGATGTTAATTTTAAAAAAGTAAAAAGAGATAAGAATTTTAAGTGTTAGGTGAAAATTCTTTTTGAATCTGTACATAAAATGATCTTATTCTTTCTTTTATTTTTTCATTTTCATTTTTTTTTTGGTTGGCTTTCATTTTGGCTCGGGGTTGCTCCTTTTTTTCTTTTTTTTTTTTTTTAATTCTTTTTTTCATGTAACTTTGCTCAATCTCATTGTGTAAGCATGCTCAACCTTCTTTCTTTTACTGATGCTTAGCAATGAATCTATACATTTTTTAATTTTTCATATTCTTATGTTTGAAATATTGGAAGATTTCAGAAAATGAAAAAAAAAAAAAAAAAAAAAATCTTTTAAAAGAAAGAATGCACCTTCTAATGAAGAGTCCTTCGAATGAGCTCCTATCTTTTATCTATTTTCTTTACGTGGTATTTTCAGTTTTCTTCATTTAATTTTAATTTTGACATTCTGGACATTGTATAAATGAGCCGAAAAGCTTCTATTTTCCTTTTATCGTTTCTATCTTAGTTGTGTATTGAGTATAAACTGTGTACTTTGCATATTCAGTGAATAATGGTAACTTCTTTTCTCCAATTTATCACAGTTTTTATTTTTATTTTTATTTTTGGTGGTTTTAATTTTTATCCTTCCGTTTTTCTATTCCCCTTTGATAAATATTAACAAAATAAAGAAATTGAATTTTTGATTTTTGATTTAAAAAAAAAAAAAAAAAAAAAAAGGATTGAGAATGGGATAAAATATCGAGGAGCTTTGTAGTACAATGTCTAAAAGAGTTGGAGACTAAACTGATAAAACTATAGCATAATAATACAAAGTTTTATAAAAGTTTGAAAAGTATAAAAAACAAGTAAAAGAGGGAACATGATTGGTCCAGCAGAAAATGGTTTTCAAATAGTTATATTTGTATATTTTAGTCAGGAGAAGAACCAATTAATCTATTTTAACAAAAATTAAATTTATGAAAGAATTTCATTAAAATTAAAAAGTGAAAGAGAGAGAGAAAAAAAAATAGAGGGGGAAAATATTAATAATCATCACCACGACTCAGCACTTCTTTACATGTGGGACGTAACAAAATAGTGTGTTCCCACTGGGCAGTATATGATCCGGGGGAATCCACTAAAGGAGGATAAGAATCTACTACTCCACAGTCAACAAGGTTTTTAAGTGCAAAAATATATCTTGACTCCCCAATTCTATCCAAATAACGGCGACAGAAGGCCAATGTGCCAAATTCTTTAGTGATAGTATTCAGCAATTGACGAGAGCGTGGAAGTCTATTAAATAGTACCAAGAAAATAAAAAAATGATAAAAATTATGAATGCTGTCCAAAAAAAAAAAAGAAAAAAAAAAGATCCAAAAGGAAACGCTTTAAATTAAATAGTACTAAAAGGAAATATACCTGACTTGAACAGATTTTGCATCCATTCTACGCATATAATGGCTAACATCGTCTCCATTAATGACATAACCTTTACCCGTAGAACCAAATGTTTCGATGGCATAAAATTCACCTTCTTCCATTTTCGTTTGTTCTCCTCCCTTCACTATAGGGACAGATTTACCAGCATGAATACGATATCGTTCAATAGAATGACCACTTAGATTAGAAATGGGCTTTACTTGGTACACTTTTCCATCAAGTTCAACTTCATACGACTCCATAACTTCCTGAATCGCTTCACCAATATCACATAAGCGCACATCGATCCCAGCTTCACGAATACCTGTATTTGTAGCATCCTTCACTGCTGCAAGAAGTTGATCATACTTCGGATCGAAAGAAACGGTGAATGCGGAATCTATAATACGTCCTATTTAAAAGAACAGTGATTTTTTTTTAAAAAAAAGTGTAAATATTAAAAAAATTGAAGAGAGAAGGGGGAAAAGAAAAAAAAGATGCTAAAAAATTATACTTTTTCAAAAGGTTGAAGTCAAAAAGTATTTACTGAACTTTTAAACAAATGAAATTTAAAAAAAAAAAAAAAAGCCCTGTACCATTAACATGAACTCCGAAATCAATTTTACAAACATCATTGTACTGTAAAACTGTAGAATCTC